TGATACTCATCCCTGTCAGGGTAGATGCGAGATACTGATGTACAGCTGTTAAAATACCAATATCACGGCAGAACAGTCATCAATCCTTGCATACCGGAGGTACATCTATAAAGAGAGTGGCCCCACCGTACTTTATCTATCTCCAAACCCTCTAATGTGCGGTGTGTATTGAGCTCACTCTCCGCAGCTCAACACTCGAATATGAATGTAATGCTGGGTGGCAGTGGTTCACGGTGTGGGCTAATCACTAGGTCCCTGATCTTGGCTCAGATCTATCCAGGTGGCAAATTGAAATGAGATGAGATGAGATGAGATGATTCTCAATGTTTGATGTGACACCGGTCAGCAAATAATGTCCGGAATATAAACTCCGTGATGTAATAATAAAATATATAGACGACAAAGTTAATTTTGTATTGTTCTGGATGGAAGAAATTCCTGCCATCCCACTTGGGTCAAGTTGGGTGGAAGGGTGCGAAAGTTCATCTGGGCCCTGGAAGCACTCATAGTCCGGGCTTGATTCAAACGGGCATCTCCTGTCTACAGCTGATTTGGAAAGTATAGAGGGGTTTCGTAAAAATTTGATGCCCAATTTTTGCTTACCTCTGTTTGACACTGTGTCGCCGTCCGCTCCATCTTGCTCCACCTGTCATCATCGATTCCTTCACGCTCGACGACGATAGCCAGTGATAGCCGAACTGTCCATCCATCCTGTTCCCAGGTATGCTCCTGATAGTGTGAAGAAGCTGATTGCATGGGTGGTTGTGTTCATGACGTGAGGTGAGGTGGGATATAAATAATAGCACTCCATAACAGGCAATGATCTGCATGAGTCGTGGGTGGAGCGGCAACTCAGTGTCAACAGAGGTAAGCAAAAATCGAGCATCAAAATTTTACGAAACCCCTCTATACTTTCCAAATTGGCTGTAACATTGATAGTGACTTCAAGTTCACACTGAGTGCAGGTGCGGAAACCACCCGCCACCGTGCCTTCCCTGCATACCTCAGCTCGGTCAAACTAGATTCATTCCGTTGAATCCAAGGGGAAAAAAAAAGAAATTCCTCCGACTCCGATACAGGGCCCGGGCTCGATTCGAACGAGTGTCTCCCGCAGATGCTATCTTGCTGGTTTGAGACTGAGTGCAGGTGCGGAAACCACCCGCCACCGGGCCTTCCTCTCAGACATGGGAGCTCTGTGAAACAGGGATCTTCCGTTGACTCGAAATTTATTTTTCCTTTTTTAAAAAAAAGGTGATTTGCACATCCGCCAGTCTAGGGCCCGGGCTCGAGTCGAACGAGCTCTCCTGCAGATGCTACACAGCACAATTCAACCGAATGCAGGCGCGGAAACAACCTGCCACCGGGTCTTCCTCTCATACGTCAGAGCCTGCTCAACCTAGGATCATTCCGGTGAATGTGGCTTGCGCAGGCGCCGAGAAAAGAAATGACTGAAAGTCCTAACAGGGCCCGGGCCCGATTCGAACGAGCTCTCCTGCAGAATGCCACATTACCACGCACCCTATAATCCGGTGCAGGCGGAAACCACCCCACTAGGCCTTCCTCGTAGGAATATAAACTCGGGTAGGTCGCCATCTTTTTATTTCAACACGACATCATCTAATCTAATCTAATCCACTTACTCTAATCTCGCCGGAACCTAATTGATCATCTATCGAATCTCCGGAGCTGTGTCGGACTGTCAGTTGAGTGATAGATGAAGTTGACATGAGCAGAGGTGGTGTAATGCGTATCGAGGGTCATCGCCATCGCCGTCGGACCCACATGGCAACGGCAACGGAGAGCGTGCTCCGCAGCAGGAGGGCCAGAGTGCCGGAATGGGTGCCTTATTAAATATGTCGAACGTTAACGCGTCCCGAAATCGATGCGAATTCGTATTTGAACTTAAGAACGGACCCCGAAATTACTTGGATGGACGGAGCAAAACGTACATACCCTCGCGACCAATGTGATCTAGACGGCGACGAGGACGAGGTACGAGAAGAGAACAGATGGAAGAATCCAACAACTTCTCCGGAGCACACGTTCGCCCGCCCGCCCCGTCTTCCTCGCGCACAGCCCCAGCAAAAATCGCTACACCATTGATTCGATAACGATATAACAGAACTACAAGTTTATTTTCTTTCCTCTTCGTCTGCTCCCTCCCCATTCTGTACACTCATTCCGTACACGCGCTCCCGCTCCCCCTTCCGCACGCAGACGCCGATGGGCGAGACAATCACTCGACGACGCCCGAGGCGACGATGGTGACGGTCTTGGAGGGCGTGCCGCTGTCGGAGCCGAGGCCCTCGACCTTCTTGATGGTGTCTTGGCCCGAGACGACCTCGCCTTGAGAAGGAGGGGTTAGGACGAGAACGGTGGGGGGATGGGGGTGATGTGATGCGATGTGATGGGGAGCACGGGCGGAATGGGAGAACGGGGAAATGGATGGGAGCGGAGGTAAGGTGAGGAAGTGGGCGTGGTGCGAGGGCGCAAAATCGATGCTCAGCAGCGCAACGGAGCGAAATCCGACCGGTAACGGGAGCGAAATGTGAGGCGATCGCTACCGAGAAAGTGGAATGACAGTGGAATTGAAGGAGAATGGCGTGAATCAAAGTCGCAAAACACCGTGCCGCGATCGATGAACACGAATGTGCGATGGACAAACGCGACGGGATGCGATCACGACGGATGAAATGGGAGTGGGTGATCGATGCGATCGATGGAGCCGGATAACCATCGCGCGAAGACAAAGGACGCACCGAAGACGACGTGCTTGCCGTCGAGCCACGAGGTGACGACGGTGGTGATGAAGAACTGCGAGCCGTTGGTGTTGGGCCCCGCGTTCGCCATGGAGAGCAGGTACGGCTTGGTGTGCTTGAGCTTGAAGTTCTCGTCTGCGCGCTTCTCAGCTTTCGGCGCTCCCGCGCAATAAAAGAGGCGCTCACCCTTGAACTTCTCGCCGTAGATGGAGACGCCGCCGGTGCCGTTGTGGCGCGTGAAGTCGCCGCCCTGGAGCATGAAGTTGGGGATGATGCGGTGGAACTTGGAGCCGGCGTAGGTATGCCCCTTGGTCGTCGGCTGCCCGCTCTTGTCGAGGCCCTGGCAGAGCTTGCGGAAGTTGTCGGTCGTGAGCGGGACGACGTCGTCGAACAGCTTGAACACGACGCGCTCCGTCGGCTGGCCCTGGATCTGGATGTCGAACTGCGGAGGCTCGTCAGCGGCGGCGACGACGAGCAGGGGAGTACGCCGGGGACAAAGACGGGGGACGTACGTAGCAGTTGGACATGGTGGTGGTTGTGGTGAGAGATGCGATGGATCGATGTGCGGAGATCGATGGGTCGTTAAAAGGCCGGCAAGCCCCGCCGATCGGATGTGATACGTCGGAACCCGGATCTCCCCGTGCACGGACCACCTCCCCTTCTGGAATCAGAATCCAACACGCCGACGGCGCCCATCTGTCGTGATTCCCGGCTGTGCCACAGCTTTGCGGCGCTAATCCCTTCTATCTAATCCCATCCATCTACAGCTGGAATGTTCCTCAGAGCTAATGCGCACTGCTTTTGACCCAACTTACGAAAGGTACGTCCAGAAATAATGCTAATTTAAATAAGTGAATGGAATATAAGTAAAGATCCGGTAGCAGATGGCCTGCACCTGCACTCGGTTCTTAAATTGCTTAAACTCGCATCCTTTGCAGGACTCGCTCGTTCGAATCGAGCCCGGGCAGTTCTTGTTCGGAGGTATATTGTTGTTTACCACCGTGCAATTCTAATGTCTCTGGTTCAATTAACGAAGTTAGCAGGGAACGAAAGAAGGAACGATAGCGGATGATTAGTCCCTGCACTAAATGTCGATAGATCCCCGCAAGACTCGGGCCAGGGTTTATCTCCTTTTTTTTGTGGCGCAGACTCACGAAATAATACTGATTTAACCGGCTTCACAGGCACCAGAGAAAGGCCCAGTAGCGGATGGCCCGCCTCTGCTCTGAATAATTAGTGGAATTTTCCCCCACTCTGCAGGCATCGCTCGTTCGAATCGAGCCCGGGCCATGTGGGGAAATCTCCCATTTTTTATTGTGCAAGGTCATGAAATAAGGGTGGTTTAACGAAGTTTCCAGGAATGAATTGAAGGCCCGGTAGCGGACGGTTTCCGTACCTGATCTCAATATCGTCGCTCCCTTCGAAATTGTGCAGGACTCACTCGTTCGACTCGAGCCCGGGCCATCAAGTCTCTGGCGTTGAATTTTTGCCTCCCGCAATCCCACAATAAGGCTGGTTTAACCACGTTTCTAGGTATGTATTTAAGGCCCGGTAGCGGATGGTCCGCCCCTGCTCTGAATAATTGGTCGAGTTTACCCTCACTCTGCAGGCATCGCTCGTTCGAATCGAGCCTGGCCCATGGGGTGATGGATCCACCATTTTTTATCCTGTAGCCTATTGAATGAGGGTGGTTTAACGAAGTTTCTAGGTATGTGTTTAAGGCCCGGTAGCGGATGGTTTCCGCACCTGCACTCTGTATTGCTGTACGGCCGATTAATGATGCAGGACTAGCTCGTTCGAATCGAGCCCGAGTCATGAGGATAAATGCTTTGAGTTTTGTCGCGCAATCCCGCAATAATACTGATTCAACCAAGTTGACAGGAAACAGAGAAAGGCCCGGTAGCGGATGGTCCGCCCCTACTCTGAATAATTTGTGGAATTTCTTCACTCTGTAGGCATCGCTCGTTCGAATCGAGCCGGGCCATGCAATGTATTGTTTCCTTTTTTTGTCGTGCAGCTCATGAAATAAGGGTGGGTTTAACCAGACTCACAGGTAGCCTAGGGAGGCCCGGTAGCGGATAGTTTCCGCACCTGCACTCAGTATTGCTGTGCCGCTGAGCAATGATGCAGGACTTTCTCGTTCGACTCGAGCCCGGGCCATTACCCAGATTCGTCTAGCTTTTTTCCTCGCGCAATCACACAATAATGCCGATTTAACCAAGTTTCTAGGTATATGTTTAAGGCCCGGTAGCGGATGGTCCGCCCCTGCTCTGAATAACAGTTGAGTTTTCCCCCACTCTGCGGGCATCGCTCGTTCGAATCGAGCTCGGGCCATGTCGGGAAATCTTCCTTGTTTTTATCCTGCAGCCCATTAAATGAGGGTAGTTTAACGAATTTAGCAGGTAGCTGCAAAGGCCTGGTAGCGGATGGTTTCCGTACCTGCACTCTATAATGGTCGCGATCCGTTGGCAGGACTAGCTCGTTCGAATCGAACCCAAGCCGTTGGTTTTTGGGCTTTTTTTTCACTTAGTGTGTGATTCTAATTCCTGGAGCTTGAATCCGGGATCCAATGAAGCTACATGAAGCATAATATAAGGCTCGGTATGGATGATCCGTCCCTGGACTGAATGTCAGAAATCACTGCGAGTTTGCAACACTCATCGAACCCGGACCATCATGAGATATCGTACTATTTTTCTCTTGCAGGCTCGCAAATAATTCTGGTTTCACCGGCTTCGTAGGCACCGGAGAAAGGTCCGGTAGTGGATGGTCCACACCTGCACTGAATTTCGTTCTGACACTGTTTAAATATGCAGGCATCGCTCAAGCCTGGGCCATAAAGGGAAATCTTGTATTGATTTTTGTCGCGCAAGCTCGGGAAGTGATGCTGGTTCAACCAAGTGCGCATAGAATTAAAAGGCTCGGTAGCGGATAGTCCACCCCTGCTCTGAATAATTGGTCGAGTTTACCCCCACTCTGCAGGCATCGCTCGTTCGAATTGAGTCCAGGCCATGATGTCGATTCTTGGCTGTCTTTTGGTTCTTGAAAGTGCATAGAATGATGCTGGTTCAACCAAGTTGAAAGGAAACAGAGAAAGGCCCGGTAGCGGAAGGTTTCCGCACCTGTGTTCGATATCACCCTTTCGAGAGCCGTTCGCAGGACTAGCTCATTCGAACCGGGCTCGAGCCGTTGATCTGCGGGGCCCTTCTTTTTTTACGTGCTGTGTGATTCCAAATTTGCGCTTGAATCAGGGATCTAATCATTTTCCCAGGTAGCATGAAGAGCCCCAGTAGCGGATGGTCCGTGGCTAATCTCAATATTGGAATTAACTCGACACATTATACAGGACCAGCTCGTTCGAATCGAGCCCGGGCCATACTGGGAATTCGACTTTTTTTTCCTGCACGCTCTTGAGATAAGGCTAGTTTAACGACGTTTCTAGGTATGTGTTTAAGGCCCGGTAGCGGATGGTTTCCGCCCCTGCACTGAATGTCGTTCTGACACTGTTTAAACATGCAGGACTCGCTCGTTCGAATCAAGCCGGGGCTATATGGCCGACCTCTTGTGAATTGTTTTTGGTTGCGCAAGCTCACCGACTGATACTATTTTCGACCGGGAAACCAGCCACCTTAGCATTTTTGGCTGGTTCTCGAGAGTCATATCCACTCTATACAAGCCATAGTGTGTTAGAACAAAGGTCGGCATCCCACGAATAGATCCATATAGTTTCCCCGAGTTTAGATGCAGTGTGGCTGGAGCGGTGAATTTTCTTCGGCCGACAAGCTCAACATGAGCAAATAGTAGGAAACCGGCCACCCCGCCAATCAAGTGCCATGGGTGCAAACTCCAGGGTGTTTCATTCAGAAAATATACATGAGTTATCTAGGTACTATTGGGTATGCTCGGGGTGTACTTGCAAGGGATGGGACTGGGTAAACTTGGTGGCTGGAATTGCAGCGGTAACTTGCGGAATTGCAGATTCCGGCTATATGGGCGGCTCGTCAGGACCACCCCCGGCGGCGAGACAAAATGAGTACTCTGTAGCTTGCACTGGGGACAATAGGCAATATACAGACCCTGAATATCCTCAGTATATCCTCAGTATTTTACAAAAATCCCAAGGAAATATCCAGAATATCCTGGGTCCGGATATTCTCAGTATATTAGCTAATATCCTGAGCATATCCTTACAAAATCCTGAGTCCATATATGGTAGCCATCAGACCTCAGTATTTTGCAAGTATATTGCAACCAAACAACCTAAAAAAGATAGGAACAGTTGCTTAACTGGGTAATAATAGTTGTCCCAAGTACATCTATATAAAGAGCTATAATATCAACAGTGCTGTCATGCTATAAGGTCACATGACCTCGAAAGTGCTTTCCAGGTCATGTGGTACTTAGTCTGTGCACTGGAATTAGTTTGAAGGTACAGTATGTACTAAAGAATTATTTAAGACCAAAAATAGATCTGATTATCTCATCTTGGTCCATGCACTTGAAACAGCCAACTATCACATGACCTCAAAAGTGTGTTCGAGGTCATGTGACCTCATAGCATAACAGCACTGTTAATATTAGGAGGTGTTTTGGTGCACATCCTTACTTCTCTGACTTAGTGTTGGCCTCATTATTGAAGACACCATTGGTTTCAACTACCATTCCCTTGTACATATATAGCTGTGCAGTGTAGAGGTCCCACATGATTTATTTCTATATTTGGTAAAAATGATATGACCATAGAGCTTGCTCTGTGGTCACGGGATCTTGATTTCCGCAAATCCCCCATATAGGGTGTAACACAGGTGGATATCGGGACCCTGATGGTCCATATCATACCTGTTACCTGTGACACTGTACCTGTGACCCACCTGTACCCGCAGGTACAGTAAATAACCATGGTTATATATATATATTGTAATATTATGTTACAGGGGTGTTGAATGTCTTTATATGCATCCTAATGTGTTCAGGTGTATATATGCTATTTTTCTTATATTTATCCGCATTTATGCAACCTTCAGAGGCCCCAATACGAGTCAAAATGAGTGAGATCAATCCCATCAAGGCCACAACAAATAGTACTACGCTTCGTTCCAGATTAGGAAATCCTCGCCAAATCCCTTTCCCTGGGTGTCTTTCGGGGACCTGGCACATATAATGGTGGACATGTATGTACTACAATGTTTATACAGTCATAAAACTGCATTCCACCCCATTTAACCACAGTTCTGGGCCAATTCAATGAAACTGTTATTAATGACCCTGGTGACCATTTACTGGTGTGAGAGTGTGAAAATGGAGTCAAAATTGAGGCTAAAAACTACTAGTATCACCTGTAATAGATGGGGGAGGCACATATGTGCATGGATAGCTGTTTCAGAGATATTTATGTCAATTGTCCTAATCTGGAATAACCGCGAGTTTTATGGTCATGGGTACAGTATTTTAGGTTTCCCCTGAGAACCATACTGTACCCATACCCATTACACCTGTACCCGTGACACTATGGTAATGCATAACACCGTGTCACACTACCCCCCATATTTATACTTCACCTTCTCCTCTTGATCATTTTCTATTAGACACTTTCTGAGTATACCTACCTCTATTCTGAATTCAGAAAATGTGAATGATGCCATTTATAAGGTTTATGGAAAGACATGGTGCTAGAGGGGAATCTAGTAGCTAGAAGTGATAAAGAAAAGAAACAGATTGTGGCCTGCTGCCAAAGCCAAAGAATGGAAAGAGAAGAAAACACAGCCTGCTGCCAAAGCAGGCTGTCTCCTGATTCCCTGCTGCTAAAGCTGGTAACCAGGAGAATAAGAAAAACTGTAGCCTGCTGCCAAAGCCAGCTACCCCAATGTCTCTGCTGCCAAAGTGGATAATCAGAAAGAAAATAAATCAAGGAGAACATGACAGAATATAGAGAAGAGGTGTTGGTACAAACATCATACAACACAGCAACTTTATAGCCTCCAATAACACAGCCACACACCAGAACCCTTTTATAGGAACTGTAATTGTGACAACCATTTGTCCTCAGTTAAGCAATTGTTCCTATCTTTTTTTAGATTGTTTGGTCGCAATATACTTGCAAAATACTGAGGTCTGATGGCTACCATATATGGATTCAGGATTTTGTAAGGATATGCTCAGGATATTAGCTAATATACTGAGTATATCCGGACCCAGGATATTCTGGGTATTTACTTGGGATTTATGCAAAATACTGAGCATATACAGACCCTGTATATTGGGGGTATATTCTGGGGATTTTTGTAAAATACTGAGGATATACTGAGGATATGCAGGGTCTGTATATTGCTTATTGTCCCCAGTGTTGATATGAAGGATAACGACTCATCAAACCACTCATCTCCCTGTCGAGATGACACCAGCTCCCCAGAAAAATCCAAACATTGCGGGCAGCCAAAGCGTAGTGGATCGGGGTAAAGGGCAACGATGAGAAGGGACGTGACAGTGAGCGAAGACTGCGAAGTGTGGACACACACCACAGTTGAAATGTCCTGCTCTCAAACTCTCCCTCGAAAAGATCCAGACCTGTAGCATGGATTGGCTGCCTGCTATGGCCGTAACCAGCCTGAGCCACTCCGAAATGAAGTGAAGTCAAGGTCGGCTGATAGCGAGAGTCCGTGATAGGAATTCAGGCCGGCTACCATCAGGGATTGAAGGCTGGAGTTGCACGAGTAGAACGAGCTCAAGAAGTCCCCAAAAGCTGGAGAATTGATGGAGATAGAGTGAGGGCGGTTGTGGCCAAATAAGACAAGGATGATCCGAGCGCTTCGGCCGGCACTGTGCGTGTCATATCTTTTGATCCGACCATCACTTTTGGCTCAAATTCAGTATGTACCATCCTTGGAGGTCCCATTCCCTCCCCAAACACAAAATTTAGACACAGTCCAAGGGCTTGACTCGATGCCAGGCAATTGGCTGGTTTCCTAGTATGGCCGGTTTCCTGGTCGAAAATAGCAGTGGTTTAACCAGATTGCAGGTATGGTATGAAAGATAGGCCCGGTAGCGGATTGCTTCCGCACCTGCACTCAGTATCGTTCTGACACTGTTTAAATATGCAGGACTCCCTCGTTCGAATCGAGACCGGGCCATGTCGGCGAATCTCTGAGTTTTTATTGTGTAGCCCATTAAATAAGGGTGGTTTAACCAGGTTCGCGGGTGAGCTGCAGAGGCCCGGTATTAGATGGTCCGTCCGCATCTACTCCCAAAGATGTCTGAAGTCTGTACCTCCTGCGTATATCGCTCGTTCGAATCGAGCCCGAGCCACAGTTTGATCACGAATGCACTTGGCTTTTTTC